GGTGAGAAGGAGAACCCGATGCGGGAGCTGCGGATCCGCAAACTCTGCCTCAACATCTGCGTCGGGGAGAGCGGGGACCGGCTGACCCGCGCCGCCAAAGTGCTGGAGCAGCTCACGGGCCAGACCCCCGTGTTCTCCAAAGGTGAGGGGCAGCAACAGTTTGTTCCTGGTGGTTTTCTTGGCTCTTCCTGGTTGTTTCTCTTGGTTTCCTCCCTCTCTTGGGCGTGCGGAGGGTGCAGGGGCAGCGCAGCTCCCAGGAAGGGGCTCCGGTGTGGGAAGGGCCGCTCTGATGTGGGTCCTGCTGGAGAACTGAGGGTTTTAAATAATCAGGGGCTGGCGGGTGGTTGCGTCAGGTCCATTCTGTCTCCAGACTCTGCTGCTGCTCTGCCAACATCCCCAAAGAGAGGCCGCCTTGGCTCTTTTTAATTCCCTTTAATTTTTTTGGTGGTACGGAGCTCTGAACCCCCCGGGTGGGAATTCTCTGGCTGTTCCCTGAGTGCGGTTGTTGCTGCCCACAGCCCGGTACACGGTGAGGTCCTTTGGGATCAGGAGGAACGAGAAGATCGCTGTTCACTGCACGGTGCGCGGGGCCAAGGCAGAGGAGATCCTGGAGAAGGGGTTGAAGGTGAGAATTTGGGCTGGATCTTTGGTTTGTGGAAGAACAAAACCTCCCTGTTCCTAGTGAAGAGATGTGTGTTCCAAAATGCTGCACCTGATCTGGATGCAAGTCAGTCGTGGATACAGTCTGATACAGGGAATGTTCAGTTTCTTTGGGTGCTGTTTCATCCTTATTTATGAGCTCATTTTGGGAGGGAATTTGTCTTTGCTGCTGGGATTTCTGAGCAGCCTGAGGGAGGAAAATCTCAGGGATGAAGATTTAGTAGCATGTGAGCGGGTTGGGGGTCTGGTAGCAGCTGGCAGAACACGTTACTTGTTACTCCCAGGATTTGTTACTCTCAGTCAGTAACAGAATAGTGACCAACAACCAATGTTTCAGGTGAGAGAATACGAGTTGAGGAAAAACAACTTCTCAGACACCGGGAACTTTGGCTTTGGAATCCAGGAACACATCGATCTGGGCATTAAATACGATCCCAGCATCGGTATCTACGGCCTGGACTTCTACGTGGTGAGTGTTCCCTGCTTCCGTGCAGCAGCTGGGCTCGTGGGAAAGCTCTGGAAGGATAGCTGCCTTCCCATGGAACTTGCTGCCGAGTGCTGGAAGGTAACCTTGGTTCTAATCTGAGGTTCCCAGGCCTGCTGTAAAATCCTTGATTTGTGGAGAGCCTCCCAAAAGCCTCTTCAGAAGCAAATACTGTTGCTTTGGGATGACACAGAAATAGCTGGGCTGGGTTTGGGGAGGGAAAGAGCAGCAGCACTGTGGAACTTCCAGGCTCCCCTCCTAGAGAAAGGTTTAATTTAAGAAAATCAATAAATACAGGGGGTGAAGCAGTGCTGTTGGCCTCCTCCTGCAGGTGCTGGGCAGGCCAGGCTTCAGCATTGCTGACAAGAAACGCAGGACTGGCAACATCGGGGCCAAGCACAGAATTGGGAAGGAGGAAGCCATGCGCTGGTTTCAGCAAAAGGTAAAGGCCCTCTTTATTTTCCCATCCCAAGGATTCCCAAGCAAGAGTCAGCAAAATGCTTTGTGGAAGGGCTGCAGCAAGTTGCTGGGCAGGGGAAGATCTTGATCAGTGCTTAAATCGCAGATTTTTACTGCCCCAGAGCAGTAGAAGCTGCATTTGAGCACGAGGTGCTGTTCGTGCTTTTTTATTTGTGTGTGTGGTGAACTGAAAGAGCAGCTCTTGCAGGAGAGCTGGAAGCAGTGGAAAAGGTTTTTGGAGGTGTTACAAGTACGTGGATCATGAGTGATGGGGCAGGGTTAGGATTTGTTGCTCTGACCCTGCTCCCAGCTCAGCTGCCAGGCTTGGAGTTTGGAGCAATCCAAATAAATCCTTGGGGCCATATAACGAATAATTGGATCCTGAAGGGGAGCTGCTGAAAGCTGGGTTGGAAGTCTCAGGGGTGGGGACTGCTGATAGTTTTTCAGAGGTGGAAAGGATGGATGGTCTGTCTGGAGGCTCTTTACTCTGCCTGGACCTACACGGGTCATACCCTGCACAGGGAGGGCTCCAGCCTGCTCCTGCTGAATCCCTTTCCCCTCCTCCTGCCTCACTTGGTTCTTTGTTTTTCTTTTCTCACAGTATGATGGCATCATCCTTCCTGGTAAATGAGCAGTTCCTGTTACCAAAAAAGTAAATAAAATTTTCTAACCCCTTACTTGTGTTGTGAATTTTATGGGGGGGCTCTTCCAGACCTGGGAAGCTGCTGGGAGCAAGAGACACCTGCACTCGAAAGACAGGAGCTTTTCAGCTGGACTTGGAAGTGTAAACACAGGTTAAATATTGAAATTTCACAGGAAGTAAAAAATATTTTTTCCAGTTTTTCTCTCCAGAACCCTCAGACCTGCTTCTCCCTGAGATACAGCAATGCAAGAGCATCCTTACTGCCACCAGTCCCAAGGAGAAGCAGGACCTACATTGGGTGACACTGTGTCTTCAGAAAGTTATGTCAGGATTATTTTCTTAAATATCTAACCAGACAGAGTCCTTCTCCTTCACCTGCTGGTGCCTTCAGCCCTGGGTTCAATCAGGGTGTGAGCCACAGCAAACTCCAAGCCAACCTGCAAAACTACTTGGACACTGCAGCTCTAGACACTACTTTGCTGCAGCCCCATTTTAGAAAGCGCCAAAGTCTTTCCCCATGACATTATTTCCATTATTCAGCAGTTCCTGCGCCCCACACAAATCTCTGCAGATCCTGCCAGGTGAGCCCTGGCTCCTTGTGACTCACCAAATGCTGGGGCTGCTCTTACCTGGCTCTCAGACTGGTTAGTCCAGGGTGGAAGCACTGGGATTTGCAGGTTGAGGCACAGAGACCCTCAACTTTTCCCTTGCAACATCCTCTTCACCCCCGCCCGCCCCCAGACACCTGAGTGCTCATATCACTTCTACATTCACAGCAGGCTTTTGGGGTGGTGTGGGCTCAGTGGGGGACATGGAAAGGGCTGGACTCAGGTCCAGACTCAGACCTGAGATACAGCACTGCAAGAACATCCTCACTGCCAACAATCCCAAAGGGAAACAGGAGTTATCCTGGATATCCCCAGCCAAGGGCATTGCCACAGCAACAGGGGAAGGCAGTGAACCACACGAGAAGTGGTTGAGGGTGCTTGGGAAAGACAAGGAGCTGCTGGAGAGGGTCCAGTGGAGGCCACAAAGATGATTAAAGGACTGGAGCATCTCTGTTACGGAGAGACTGGGAGAGCTGGCCCTGGTCAGTCTGGAGAAGGGAAGGCTGAGAGGATCCAACCATTTGTATGGATCCATCAATCCATACAAATACCCATCAACCCCTACAAATATCAATCCACACAAGTATCTCCAAGGAGAGTCAGAGGATGTTGCCAGACTCTTTTCAAGTGACAGGACACAGAGCAATGGACATAAACTAAAACACAAGTTCCACCTCAACATGGGGCAGAACTACTTTCTACGGAGGGTGGCAGAGCCCTGGAACAGCTGCCTAGGGAAAGCGTGGAATCTCCCTCTCTGGAGACACTCCAAACCCACCTGGACGCGTTCCTGTGTCACTGGATGATCTCCAGGGGTCCCTTCCAACCTCAATCACTGTAATTCCGTGGAAGCCCGTTACGATCCCGGCAACGCCCCCTCAGCTCCCTCAGGGCCGGGCATGGCGGCCGCGCCCCCCTCAGCTCCGCCC